AGTCACCAAAAACCCTGAATTTGTGAATTCCGAACCATCACTTCTAGGAGAAATCCAGGCTTAGGTTCCCGAGATTCTCTGGTCCCAACACTTTCATCGCCCGATCAATACAGAAGCTTGTTTCATGTGTGTTTCTGTTTAAAGACACCTCATTCGATCCCCATTGCTGATGCATCCACGCTGAACTGGCCGTCGGCAGTGCTGTCCCTCCTGCCTGCATGAAGCTCGCCTGCTGCACCGTGTTCTCTGCAGGGCACGCTGCAGCCTCCCCACACTCAGGAGCACCAGACAGGACCTTAGCACTGCATTTGGGGAACATCTTCAATAGCGAAACCACCAGCAAAAAGCACACAAACGTGGAAAATGTGGCACTGAATAGACCACAAAAAGGACATTTGTTTACAGTATGAACTCAGACAAGAAGGCAGAGCGTCACCTGTTCGACCTCCACTAGGAACGTGTGTATCGGGCAACTAAGATATTTTGCTGCTCTTCGTGTATCTGCAAGTGACCACAAACACACCACAAGTATTGATTTTTGAGCTACAAAAGTATTTTAGTGAGTAGGTGAATTGCAAATTTGGGGTCATGAATAATGAGGATTGACTGTATATTTTATTGTCTTTATTACTCCTGATCAGATTGAATCTTAGAATTGGAAGGAATGCTTAAAGCCAGCCCGTTTAGCCCCCTCAGCTCACAGAGAAGAAAAATATAAGCTATAAACTTAAATGTTATCTTAAAGCACCTTATAGCCTAATTAATCATGGACAGCATTGTCTAAATGAATGTACTAGATTAGCCTCTTTTTTGTTTTTAGTTAAAATTTATTTCCAGCCTAAATGATGTGCTATGGTTTCATAATCAAAAATAATTTCATCTAAGGAAAATTCTAAATATGAACTAACATGAGTAGGAAAGTACCCAGAATCCATCTTCCTCCAACCCTAAGGCCATCCCGTCAAGAACGTTCCTCCTAAAACATAGATCTAAGAGGTGACTCAGAAGCTCCTTGCTCTGCCCACACAGATCGCTCGGTGTCCTCCAAAAGACCAAGTTGCTTTCCTACAGTTTAATTTAACAAGTCTGTCCCAACTAACCCCTCTCGTTACCCTTTAGAAGGTCGGTGAGAGGTCTCCTCACTGACCTTCTGGTTGACCTTCCGTTGTAATGGTCCTTGGCTCTGCAGCAGCCTCTTCTCCCCCTGGCAGATGCCAGATGCAGCAGAGGGAAGGACACTGCTGCCTCCCCGTTGTCCGCCTGATCTCAGAAGTGTCTGCTGAGGAACCTGCCCAGCCCCACGGCTTGGTAGGGTGGCACTGCCCTGGAAATGCTCTGTGCCAGGGCACAGATCAGCCCTTGGAGCTGAGCTGGAGAGAGGTCTTCACGGTGGGAGTGAAAGTCCTGCCCTGTCATAGCTCCCAGCAAGGGCTAAGAGACGGCGGCGCAGTGGAGGGTTTCCTCCTGTGGCCGCCTACCCTCCGTGTTCCCAGCCGCTTAGTTTGCTGGAGGATTTTAATCTTTGGCTCTGAATGTTGCTAAGATTCTAAGCAGTGTAATTTGGCGAGTGCCTTGAACAAGCGAGCCGGGAGCTTGTTTCTACATCTTTACAAGAGATTAGATGGTGTGATGCGCTGGAGAAAATGAGAAGGAGGCCGAGGTGGTAGTGGTCTGGAGGCACTGGGCGGTGAGGAGGGCTGCTGTTGGTAATGCTCCATCCCCTCAGGAAAAGGGAGTTGCTCAGGGAACGTTAGGATGAAAGATCATCTGGAGTATCAGTAATTAAGTCTGAAATGTGGCTCAACAGGAAGTGACAAGCCTCTGTCCTCAGAGACCTTTTCAAAGTGGGGCGTTCTCCACAGCTTTATATCGCTGGTCTGAAAGTGGGTCTTGTGGGAGCTTTTAAGTCCTTGGGTTCCTGTAGGGTCCTAGGAAGATGGGCTTTGTGTCCACAGACAACACTTTCAGAGTTTAATAGCAGAGGAACATTTTCAATTATCTTGGGAGCGTGAAGATCGTTGTATATCTATTTTCATATAAAGTACAACTTAGCTGTGTTCGTGTGACAGAGATAATCCCTGCACATTGTTTAATCTAAAGGAATAAATTGCTTTGCCATCATTGATTTGCATTTTCCATGTTATTTTGGAAATAGCTGTAGGGCTGGGAATGACTTCCATTTTTCTTCATTGACAGTTTCCCTTTCTGCCTTGGAGTTGATCCTAACAAAGTGGTGGCTTCTGATATTTGCCTTCCCCACTTCTACTTGGAGTTTCTACCTGAAATACAGAAAAATTTCAGGCCCACTATCGTGAAACATTTTGAAGCCGCCCACACCCCCTTCTCTTGAGGAAATTAAAAAGCCCCCTGATCTGGGGTGTTAGGTTATTTGTTTCAACAGGAACAGCAGAAATAAAATGTGGGGAGGGCTGACTTCACGCAAGGAGGATGGCAACGCCTGTCCTGGAGCGGCTGTCCTGGGCCCCCTCTTCCCCTAGAACTTGCAGGAATGAGGAGGCCTCGTGGCCTGTGACTGTGAGCACGCACAGTTAGAGATTTCAGGTAAAAACTTGTCACCCTCTGCCTTGTTCCCGGGAGGCAGGGCTCCTGGCCCCCAGGGGAGGGTAATGTCTTAGCTTTGAAAACCTAACCAAGCTAGGCCCCTAACCTTGAAACAGCACCTGAAGGAGCTGTGTGCGCCTGTGTGCCGGCCCCCGCCGGCCCCCTGCAGGCAGCAGCAAAGGGGCCCCTGTGCATTAGACCCCGCCAGGCTTTCTCCCCTCCGGAGCCTAGCAGCTGAACTCCCTAGTAGGAGTGGAAACGTGGAATGCAAGAGGCTTTAATGATCTCCTTGAGTATTCGACACTCCTTGAGATGCGTTTCTCTCTACGTGTTGACACTGAGGGCTGGGCACAGGGAGGCGGCAGCTGAGAGTGGGGTTCGGTTGCAATCTCTCGGTTGTTGACCCTGTTCCTTTTCTCTGAAATCCTGCACCTTATCATTAGGATTAAGGTCTCCTCACTGGGATTCCAGGTCTAATTCTAGGGCCGAATGATTACGCCGCCTCTCAATTGCAAATGGTTAGAGGGCGGGGAAAGTTTTGTAAACTTTGTCATGGCTTTTGTTCCTGCTTCACCTTCCTCTTGCTGTTCCGCCCAGGAGAAGTGCTAGGAGTTGGAAAGTGTAGGGTTATCTCTGGGAGCCACACTTAGTGAGGCTTCACACAAAGGAGTCCCCTCCCTCAACACACCCACGTGCTGCCTTCTTAGTACAGGGATGTGGGGGAATAATTTACCTGGAGATATCTGTGGGCCCAGCAGGGCTGGAACTCTCCGGAACTCTCCAGAACTTTCTGTTCTGCCCTGCATCTGCCACAGTGGGGGCCTGCTGACTGGCAAACACGGACAGTAAAACTCAGGAGAAGGCAGTGAGAGAAGTTAGCATCTCTACGTCAATTTATAATGTATGCAAATCATGTTTTCAAATATTTAGAGTCTCTGAGGGAATTACATCACTGTTTATAACTGTTTTGATTGTTTTTTATGACTCAGGCCCACTAGAGCCCAGCGAAGTAATTCCTGAGAGACGCCGAGCCTACGCGGAAAGTCGGGGCATAATGGGAAAAGTGCTCCCCATAATAAACCGAGCACTGGCCAAGCAGTGGGGAACTATTAATGAGCTGCTGGGTAGCGGGTGGATCTTTCTTCAGTCTCCAGATCGTAAGGGGGAGCCGCCGTGGTGCAGGTGGGATGGCCCAGCCTGGCTAGGGAACAGCATCTGGGGGCAGGTTTTCCGCCTGCTTCGTCTGGGGAGTACGCTTAAAAATTCTGGTGGTGGGGCCAGCTTGGTAGCATAGCAGTTAAGTTCATGTGCTTTGCTTCATCGTCCCAAGGTTCACGGGTTTGGATCCCCAGCACAGACCTATACACCACTCGTCAAGCCATGCTGTGGTGGCATCCCACATACAAAAAACGGAGGAAGATTGCCACAGATGTTAGCTCAGCAACAATCTCCCTCAAGCAAAAAAAGAGGAAGATTGGCAACACATGTTAGCTCAGGGCCAGTCTTCCTCACCACAAAAAAAAACATTGGTAGAACTGACTCATGAATGATTGGGGCTTGGTGCTTGTCTTCAGATTCCATCCAATGTGGTAAAACTTTCCCGACTGTGTAAAGAGAACAGTCATTCATTCCCATCACAGGTGGGAGAGAGAGGGGCCCCCAGTCTTCTTGCAGGACAGTCGGGAGCGGACTAGCTCCTGTCCATCTTCCGTGACTCTGGTCTAGTCACTACGGCCTTGACCGATGTGTTCAGTGCAAGAGATCAACTCTGGCCCCGGGTCCGTTGTCTGTCTCCTCTATTCCGGTGTCTTGAACAGGATTGTGGGTCCACACCAGCATCCCTGCAGGTCACTGTGGCACAGACGTGGAAGCAGGGGACTCTGGAGCCTCAAACCCCAGCCCTGACTCTCATTAGCTGTGTGACCTTGGGCGTGGTCCTTGACGACCTCCTGGATTAAATGGGTCAATCCTTGTAAATTCTCAGACCAGTGCCCAGTGCCCGGCACGCAGTCAGCTCAGGAAATGTTTGTTGTTGTCATTCAGCATCATGACTTACATCCTCAAGGCCAGTCTTTGAAATAAAGTGGTGGGATTTTAAAGCCTTGCAGAACCCAGACGGGTGAGGAAATGAGCTGGCCAAAGGCTACTTAGAGAGAAGCCGCCTCCTGGGTGCCGAGAGAGCCAGTCCCTGGGTGTGTTAGCTGAGTCTGCACAAGAAGCCATTCTTTAAATTTCTCTAAGCAAATCCCAGAGCGCTAAACTTCTTCTGGGCGGGAGGTGTAACTGCAACAGGAGCATCTGAGAGTGGGGGCCACAGCTGTCCCGCAGAGTCCCCAGCACAGGGTCTCTGCCACACCAGGCAAGGCCTGACTCCATCATCCTTGTGTGCGACTTAGTGCTTCAGGTGCTAAGTACTGAGCTCCTCCCTCCTCTCCCAGGAGCATCCCTGTGGTGCAGACCCTGCGGACCACCGCCCTGACCACCGCCTGCGCGGACCACTCGGACCAGCGCGTGGGCTACCTGGAGCACGTGGTGGCTCGTATCTCCATCTCCCACCCGCGCCGAGGAGACCTCCAGATCCACCTGATTTCTCCCTCAGGAACCAAGTCTCAGCTTTTGGCAAAGAGGTAAGGCCAGGCTGGCTGGGTGGGGCCGGGCTCACCACCAGAACCCGTCTGTCCCGAGGTCACAGCGTCCCTGCCGAGCACCCTGGCACGTGCGGGTCTCCCAGCAGCGTCCTCTTGGAGACAGTCACATGTAGACCCTACAAACCTGAGAAGCAGCCTCCTGAAATGTCACCTTCAAAACCGCCCTGGAAACTGGTTTCCACACAGCAAGCACAGAGAGTCTGTGGTGGTTCTGTTTTTTAGTGGAGAGATGTGTGGAATTCTGGCTACGACTTAATTACTCTAAGGATGCATTGAAAATATTTTCATCACATTCATTCGACAGTTTGAGTGAGAGCACATGTCAGAGGAGCACTGTTTGTCTCTCGAAGCTTCTCCTGCCCAGGCGCGCAGTGGTGGGTCATGCCGTAGAGCCTGTGGGGTGGCGGGAGGCTCTGCTCTGTGGGGCAGATGGCCTTGGTGGGGCGCTCGGAGGCTGCTCTCCGCAGTGTTCCCACCCACGTGCTTTCAGGGGTCCCGTTTGGCCGAAGCACTCAGCAACAGGCTCTGAACTGTGGAACTTGGTGCACAGTTTGCGAAAGGCTATGGAGTAGTCATTCAACAAACTTAGAAACTAGGAGAAGTGCTTTGATGCATCTATGTGACTTGCAGGTGGTTAGAATGATGGGAATGATGGGTTAGAATGATGATTTATGGGAGCTTGGACGAGGGCTCTGTTTTGGCTCCTTCTGGCTAAGAGGCAGAGGGAGAAAAAAGGTTTCATGGACAGAGAAGCATTTCTACCTTCTCTTGAAAAACAGAACTGGCCGTCATGCCCCAAACCCCTCGGGAAGCACCCCGAGACTGCCCTTTCCGCTGGACTGTGGCCCCCACTCCCTGCTTGCTCACACTAGACCCTCTTGACTCACTTGGGGTTAGCTGAGTGGGGCTGCAGCCCTTATTTGGGCTGTAGGCTTCAGAAATGGGGGTGGAGTGAAAGCCTCGAGACAGGACCAGGCAGGACTTGTTCTTAACCCCTCCACCCCACCCCTGCTGCGTATAAGACAGAGATTGCAACCGTGAAAGGCGAGCATGGGCTTTGTCTGAAGGAGTGGTGAGTTGTGCTGTGTCCTTTCCACCTCTGCCCAGCCTCCCCGTGCTACGCGGGCTCTCTGCAGATGGCGCACCTGGCTGTGGGCCCAGCACTGGGTTTGTCCTCGATGCACTGGAACCAACTCTGAGACAGGTCCTGGCTTCCTGGGTTCTGTGGGTTTAGCTACCAAGCCGGGCCCCTATCAGGTTCCACTCTCGCAGCGCAATAGTGACATAGGGCCTCTCTCCTTCCTGCATGTAGGCCCGGGCCACACTCTGCCTCTGCATGCAGGAGACCAGCATGGGCATGAGTATTTTGATCATTTTGAGGGTGCCAGCTGGCAGGCTGCAGCTTTATGCTATTTTGCAACCAGAATTGTTGTTTTATTATCATTATCATTTTCATTATTATTATTATTGGAACTTTTAGAGATTTCATGTAAAAGTCCAAATTTCTAATGTTTCTTGAAACATTGGAAGCTCTCCAATACTGGGCCTATATTCACTGTGCAAACACCAGACCGGAGCTGGGCAGAGGGGCAGGTCTGCTTCAGTGCTCCCCATGGCCCTGTCCTTGCACCAGCACCAAGGCCAGGCATGGGTTCCGCTCTCTGGGCTCCGGTGAAGTCACCTCACTGGAGCCCCTGCTTGCTCCAGGATGGACACCTGGAGGCACCCGAGTCGGTGCCCCCTGAATCTGAGGCAGCAGCCTGGTGCAGACACCAAATGGTGGCCCGTATTCAAGTGAGAGCCACCGTGAGGCTTAAGGGTTGGCACGGGCAGGTGGCAGGGCCGCAGCAACCTGCAAGGACTGACGTGGGCTTTGGAGCCTGGAGACCTGCGCTTCCACCTCAGCTCCTGCACTTCCCAGCTGGGCTCCCACTAGCTGGCCACTTCTCCTCACCGCCGGAAAGGTCATTTTACTCCTCTGTCACAACTGGGAATGTTACAAGAACTGAATATGATAAGATGGATGACAGTGCTTGGCGCTGTCCCCAGCAGGCGCTGGCTTCCCTTCCTGTCCTGCTTACATCCATCGACCTGACCTGCAAGAACCTTCTAGGACCCCAGCATCGCCTCCCGACCCCCGCCCTCCCCACACTCTGTTTTGTCCCTTCTAACTTCCGTCCTCTGTTCAGCCCAGCGTTTGATCCCCTGGGATGGTAGAGAGCGGGTCCTGTGGGTTTGTGTGGTTCATTCCGACCCATTTGCTAGGTAGAGCTGTACCTGTGCCACCAAGCGCTTTAAACCCGCCCTGAAGCCACTTGGCGGTCATCTGAGTTTTGCGGAATTTGTTTTTCTTCCAAGGCACAGATTGTGTGACTGTATCCCAAGGGTTTGTGTTTTGGATCTATTATCTTCTACTGTATTTCACATCCTGCTTAATTCGGCAACTTTTTCAGGTTGCCAAGTTTTTCTCACTAAGAGTAATTGACTTTCTTGAGAACTTCAGCCCTTAACAGACAGTTCGCCTTTGTTCTGACCGTAGTGTGCTGGATTCAATCTGGCATCGTGAGTGAAAATCAGCCTCGACCTTTGCAGTTTCTTAGAAGAAAGTACAGGGTGTTCTTCTCCCCAACCTGCTGTTCTCCATGCAGAGAGCGTTCCCTTGATAAACATTTTTATACACTGGATGTTCAGAGAAACCCCAAATCGGGAATCAAATCTTACATCACACAACACATATACATCTGAATTTCTGATAAATAATAAGGAGCTACTACGTTAAAAAGTTGTTCCAGAATAGAGATAGAAAGTTAGACTGGGAAGGAAGAGTGAGAGAGAAGAAGCTGAAACTGTTTCCTCCAAGGAGAGAAGACTGAGGGGGCACTGGGTGCTGGAAGAGAGAGGGTGCCCGTGAGTTGGTTCCTGTTCTGCTTGAACCAAGCATGAGCTGACAGCCCAGTTGGGACAGACCTTCCAGTCTGGAAGGACCAAGGGAGGCTCACCAGAACCTGCAGGGGAGGCTGGCTGTGGGGGGAGCTCTTCCTGCCCCTCCCCACCATGTGCCCAGGGCGGGCCTCCTGCCAACACTGGAAAACAACCAGGCCCGTTACGTCATGTCCCCCAAATGCAACTGTTGAAACCTGTTAAGCCCTGGAGACAACACTTTTCCCACAAGTTTGAGTAGTTGCACATTCTTCCTTATTTGTGTCTTCTGGAGAACAGCAGTCAAAAGCTGGCTCCAAGACAAATGAGAACATTTCATTCATTCTACAAACTCGCATTTTAGCAGGGCTTCTCTGTGACGCCCATGGGGCTTCAGTGGAAGGGTCACGTGGCCCAGCCTCTGTCGATTTTGTACACCCAGGCACTGGGGTCATGGGCTCTATAGGATGGCTCCTGTGGTGGGAAGGGACCAGACACCTTCTGAAGGAACACGGGGCTTGAGGACATGCATCAGTGACTCGTAAACACCTGCTGATGATGGAAAGAACAAGGACAGGAGTCAGAATGCCCTTGAGGGAGCCCCAGCTTAGCTGGTTACTGGCGGTTGGACCTGCAGCAAATCACTACATCTGGGATCTCTCATCTGTGAATTAGGATTGGAGGGAGGAGACCACCACTGACCGAGTCCCTGTCTTATATTGGGCGCCCCCTGTGAGGCCTGCCTGCCTGCCTCTCAGAATACTTGGAAGAACCAATGAGATAACGGAGGTGAAGCTGCGGTGCAGGGCTGTGTTGTCAAACAAGGTGTGAAAGCAGTCAACATTTCACCTGCAGCTTCTCATCGGCTGAGGCCCGGGCCCCTTCTGCCCTTGGGTGCACTTTAGCCAATTACAGTCACCTGAGGAGTTCCCAGGCAGGCTGGTCCCTCACCAACCACCCCTTTCAGGACCTTCGAGTTCTGACCCCATGTCTCCAATCGCAGATTGCTGGATCATTCTAACGAAGGGTTTACAAACTGGGAGTTCATGACGGTGCACTGTTGGGGAGAAAAGGCTGAGGGGGAATGGACCCTGGAGATCCAGGACATACCGTCCCAGGTCCGCAACCCGGAGAAACAAGGTCAGTGGCTCTCGGAGATTTCGTGAGCATTTTCCTATTTCAACCCTTTTGTTAACTCTAGACTTTTATTTAACTACAATGTCTGTGGTAATTTTTTTTTGATGGAGATAAAATTCACATAATACAAACTTCATCATTTTAATCATTTTAAAGTATATGAGTAAATGGTTTTTAGTACATTCACAGTGTTGTGCAACCATCACCAGTATCTAATGCCAGAACTTTTTCATCATTCCAAAGGGGTATCCTTACCCATTAAGCAGTGGTTCCCCATTCTCCATCCCCCTGGCCCTTAGCAACCTCTAATCTACTTTCTGTCTCTATGGACTGGCGTCTTCCATACGTTTCATGTAAATGGAATCATACAACACGTGACCTCTTGTTTCTGGCTTCTTTCGCATAGCAGAATGTTGTCAAGGTTCATCCATGTTGTAGCGTGTGTCAGTACTTCATTCCTTTTATGACTAAATACTATTCCATTGTTTGGCTGTATCACATTTTGTTTATCCGTTCATCAGTTGATGGCCAGCTGAGTTGTTTCTAATAATGGCTATTATGAATAACACTTTGAACATCCGTGTACAAGTTTTTATGTGGACATATGTTTTCGTTTCTCTTAGATATATGCGTATAAGTGGAATTGCTGGGTCATATGGTAATTCTATGTTTAACTTTTTGGGGACTACCAAACTGTTCTCCACAGCGGCTAGCCCATTTCACGTTCCTACCAGCAGTGTATAAGGATCTTAAGTTCTCCACATCCTCATCAACACTTGTTTTGTTCTTTCTTTATTTATTTATAAAAGCCATCCTAATAAGTGTGAAGTGGCATCTCATTGTGGTTTTTTTTTTTAAGATTGGCACCTGAGCTAACCTCTGTTGCCAATCTTCGTTTTTTCCCTCCTTCTTCTTCTCCCCAAAGCCCTCCAGTACATAGTTGTATATTCTAGTTGTGAGTGCCTCTGGTTGTGCTATGTGGGATGCCACTTCAGCATGGCCTGATGAGCAGAGCCATGTCTGTGCCCAGGATCCGAACCAGTGAAACCCTGGGCCGCCGAAGTGGAGGGCGAGAACTTAACCACGAGGCTATGACACCAGCCCCTCATTGTGGTTTTGATTTGCATCCCTAATAACTAATGATGCTAATAAATAATGAGCATCTTTTCATGTGCTTATTAGTCATTTTTATGTCTTCTTTAGAGAATTGTTGCACATCTTTTGCCCATTTTAAAATTGTGTTGTCTTTTTTTTTTTTTCTGAGGAAGATTAGCCCTGAGCTAACATCTACTGCCAATCCTCCTCTTTTTGCTGAGGAAGACTGGCCCTGAGTTAACATCCATGCCCATCTTCCTCTACTTTATATGTGGGACCCCTGCCACAGCATGGCTTGACAAGCAGTGTGTAGGTCTGCACCCCACACCCGAACCCTGGGGCCACCGAAGCAGAATGTGCAAACTTAGTCACTGCACCACGGGGCAGGCCCCCAAGGGTTGTTTGTCTTTCATTATTGAGTTGTAAGAGTTCTTTAAATATTCTAGATACTAGATCCTTATCAGATATATGATTTACAAATTTTTTCTCTCATTCTCTGGTGGTTCTTCCACCGTATTGATAGTGCCCTTTGAGGCACAAAAGTTTTAAATTTTGTTGAGATTCAGTTTATTTTTCTATTGCTTGTGCTTTTAGTGTCATATTTAAGAGACCGTCGCCTAATGTATGGTCACAAAGGTTGAAACCCTTGTTTTCTTCTAAGACTTTTATATAGTTTTAGCTCTTATGCTTGGGACTTTGATCCACTTTGAATTAATTTTTGTATATAGTGGAGGTAAGGGTCCAAATTCATTCTTTTGCGTATGGCTATCCAATAAGTCCCAGCACTATTTGTTAAAAAGGCTGTTCTTTCTCCCATTGAGTGATTTTGGCACCCTTGTTGAAAATCAATTGGCCATAGATGTGTGAGTTTATTTCTGGACTCTCAACCCCTTCCATTGGTCTGTGTGTCTGTCTCTATGCCAGTATCACACTATTTTGATTGCTATCGCTTTGTAGTAAGTTTTGAAATTGGCAACTTTGAGTCCTCCAAATTTGTTTCTCTTTTTCAAGATTTCTTTGGCTCTTCTGAGTCCCTTGCATTCCAGATGAATCATAGGATCAGCTTATCAATTTCTGCAAAAAAGGTAGCTGGAATTTGATAGGGATTTCTCTGAATCTGTAGGTCAATTTGAGGAGTATTACCATCTTAACAATGTTGACTTTTCCAAGCCATGAACACAGATGTCTTTCCGTTTCTTTAGATCTTCTTTAATTTCTTTCAGCAATGTTTTGTAGTTTTCAGTCTACGTGTCTTGTATGTCCTTGGTTAAATTTGTCCCTAAGTATTTTGTTCTTTTTGATGCTATTGTAAATGGAATGGTTTTCTTAATTTTGTTTTTGGATTATTTCTCTGGTAATTTTTGCACCCTTTTATAACTCTCCTTATAGTTAATAATCATTTATTTAATCGATCTTTACTGAATTCCTGCTATGGGCCAGGCACTGATCAGGTGATGGGAGTACACCAGGAAAGAAAGCAAGAGTAATCATTACAACTTACCCTGTAGTCACCCACAAAGGTCTTGGAAGTCTTCCCCTTGCTCTCTGTCGGATTTGTGGTCAGGTCCAGGGACTACGTTCCAGTCCTACTTTTCTATGCAAGACTTTCCCCAAGGTTTGCTTTCGCTGTCCTATTGTTCCTGCAGCCTGCTTCTTGATCACCCTAGAACCTTCTCCTGTCCTGCTGCTGTTCTGATTTTCTGTGAAACAGAGTTTTGGGGATTTTTTTTTCACTAGGGAGAAGAGAAGAGCATTAACTTGTCTTATGCAGAAAGTTGACTGTAAATGATCAGGTCATCTACAAGGTGCCCCCACCCCCCAAAATCACTTTCTTTCTGCCTTTAAAATAATAAGTAACTATTACGGGAAAATGTTACTGTAAAAAAGTCTAAAAATACAGAAACATAAAATTTTAAATCACTTGAAATTCATGTATTTTAAAAGTAGAAGCTCCTAAATTCTTCTTTTAAAAACCCCAAAGTGTACTGGTCACTATTAAAAGTTAAGGGTCGACGTCTCATGCCATCTGTATCCTCAAGCATTGCCTGCTCTGCGGGCACAGGACAGAGTTCCAGCACCAGCCAGCAGTGCCACTTGCCTGGGAGGCCTGTGCTATGGAGGCTGGTGGCTACAGCCACGTGGATGGACGCATCCGCAGAGCTGTGCATTCACACGGCGCAGCCCATTGGTCTGAAGCCGAGGCCCATGTCTGCAGTGGGGAAGAGCATGCACACCTTCATGACTCTGGCAGATGTTTACGTTTCTATGAACTTTGTGAGTTAAGGTCCCTGCTGGACCTCAGTGTCGTCGGCTGTGAAATAGAACTGAGCTAGACGCTGTCTGAGGCCTAACACAAGAAGTGCCTCTCTCTGCAGCAGGGGCCCATGTGGCATGTCCACATTCTGGGAGGGGCCTTGCTGGCCTGAGGTTACCCCTTCTGTTTCTTTAGCCTGCCCAGATCCCAAATCCTTCTCTAGACCCAGCTGGAGATGTCCTCCTCCTGCAGGGGTACAGTGGGTGGGGAGACAGGGGCACCTTGGGATGGTGCCCTAGACCAGTGCTTTCCCTGGGAGTTTTGTCAACATGCTCGTGCTGATGTGGTGTGTCCCGTGGTGCCTGAGATCTTGCAAGACCAGATTGCACCAGGCATGTAGGCCATCGCAAGGATCGGTCAGAAGCCCCTGGGGGATTTTAGGCAGAGGAAAGAGATGATCTGAAGCTTCGTGTTAATAGGCGCACTGTGACAGCTGGTTGGAATAGACTGAAGTGTGTTTGCAGTGGGGGAGAGCAACAGAGACAGGGAGGCCAGTAAGGAGGTCTTCACAATATGAGATGAAGGTGACTCAAACTAGGTGGTGGCAGTGGACGTATTTGAAGCAATCAGGTTTGGAAAGAAGAGTTGAAAGGATTTGCCAACAGATCAGACGTGGGCCATGAGCAAAGAGAGGGGGCGTCAGTGACTCCAGGGCTTTTGTTCTGTGCAGTGGAAGGATGGAGTTGCGATTTCCTAGATCTGGAACATTGCAGAGGGAGCGGGTGCTGGAGGGAAAATGAGGAGCTCAGTTTGGAGTGGGTTAAATTGAAGATGCACGTGACCAATCCAGGTAGAGATGTGTACCTGGAGGCAGGGGCAGGTCTGGGCTGGAAATCTACACTTAAGCATTGTCAGCAAATAGATGGTATTAAAAGCTGTGAGTGTGGACAAGCTCATGCAGGCGGTGAATGGGGATGCCCTGGGGTCCTGCAGATTGTGGGCACTGGAGGAATCTGTTTACACCGTAATGATCCCACAAGTGCAGGTATTGAACTTTGGGGTTGCTTTGGTGCACAGCACAGAACTGGGTGCCAGGCACCTCCCCACAGCCCTTCTTGCCCACTCAGCTCCCTGTCTTCTGCCTGCACAGCCCTTGCCGGCTCTGCCGTTGTCTGTCACGCTGATGTTGCTCTCGGGAGCTTGTCTTCAGGCTCCTCCATGTCCCCAGTGCCTCCTGCTGTGTGGTTCATCACAGGTGCACAGTGGGTGTTTGGAGAATGAATGAGTACAGTGGAAACTTTTGTGACCCCATGTGACCAGATGCCCTGCATGCTGCAGAGGACGTAGGCACAGTGGATACAAGGGAGACTTCCTGAGGGTGGCCCAGAGTTAAGTCCTGAAACAGGACCGTGCCCATCCTTGGGCATGGTTAGAATCTGGGTCTTTGGCTAGTTGAGATGGGAACAGAATAAGCCTCTCCTGGTATCTTTTACTCTGACCTTCCGTAACTTATTGGGATTTGGGGGACTGGGACACATTCTTCAGTGTTGTCACAGAGAGTCTGCACATTCCTGCAGCAGCTTCTGGGGTCAGTTCAGTCACACAAGCTTTACCCTGTAGACAGCCGCCACTCCTGAGGTGGGCTTTGCAGAAA